CCAACAAGGGGGATCGGCGCCTGCCTGCCATCCCCAAGGGACTTACGTTTCATGAGTCCCAAAGAAAAAGACTTGGTATTTATTGGAAGCCGATTTGATGGCGGACTCAGGCATCTCGTCGATCTGCGGGGAAGGAAAGGCCTCCTCAGGGAACCTGGGCCTGGCTCAAGCCCTCTGCTTCTTTTCCAGTGGGGTTTTTAACCCCTGCCTGCATTTCCTCGGCCATGCCACCAGGCAGAGGGTGCAGGAGCACCTTTCTTCCGCCAGGCCTGGCAGCAGGGCCGTGAAGGACGGCCGACAGGGCCGCCCCGGAGGAACTCGGCCAGACTCGAACTCAGAGGCACCACAGGAACCGGACAGCAAGGTGAGAAAGAGGGCCCGGGGCGCTGACTGGAAAGTTAATGGACGGGTGGGATTCCGGCTCGGGAACCGTAGCGACGGCCACGGCTCTCTGCGGCCTTGAAATGAACATTTGACAAAACCGTGAAAGGTCAGGGTTTTCCTCACCATCACGAAGATCTTCTCTTGCCTTTGCATGTCACCAGGGCAGCAAAGCCGAGGCCGCTCAGAGGCCGCGATGCTCAGTTACGATTACGATTTTCAACTTCGAAGGGAACGGTACGTTTGTGGCCCCTCCTTGTTTACCCCTTTCACTACTACCCTGTCTAAACATCCTTAACCCTTACCCTCTGCCCTGGTTGGTGTAGTGAACCCCAGAGCCTTGAGTTCAAATTTCTCCCCAGCCCTGCAATGAACGGGGTGGGCTGGCCCTGGGAAAGCCACCCCTGCCCTCTCTGGCTCCCCTTGAAAGCCCGGTTAGGGTTGCTATCAGTCAGTGTTCGAGTCGAGGGCCCACAGCGCCCGAACCGTTACCCCAAAAGATAAAAGTCGGAAGAGCCGTCCAGGCTCTCTGGCAGGGCAAGGGGTGGAAGCTTGCAATCTTCGTTTTGCAAGGCGACGCGTTCCCTGCTGAGAGCTTTTGTAAGGGCCTCTTCGGGGGGGAGGGAGGGGTACGTGCGTGTGTGCGTGTGTGCAATCAAATAAGTAACTGTAACCACAAGGAAAGAAGCTGGCACATCCTAGCTGGCTGGGTGCTGAGGAGGTGACTTTTGGTCTGATCCTGCTTCTGTCCCTGGCAGAGCCAGGATGAGAGGGGCCAGGCAGCACACCTGGCATCCAAGCGCAGGGAAATGGCAGGCTGAAAGTGCTGGGAAGCCATCCCTGTGGTTTTAGGCTGCCCGGTCTCGCCTGCCCTGCCCACACAGAGCCCCCTTGTTGACTCTGCCAGCCTTCTCTGCCCGCAGGTTGGCTGTGGATTACAAACGGCAACAACTGCAAGGGGAGGCTCCAGAGACACACATACACCACACCTGGCGGGTCCTGGGCAGACAGGTGCGCCTTCTCTGGGGATGCAGGAGGGGGGGAAGGGGTAACACAATCTTCCCTGACTCCCCCATCATCCCACAAAAGAGCCCTACAAAGGAGCCAGGAAGGGCTCTGCCAAGCTCCCAGACTCTGCCTGCCTTCGGATGGGATTACCGCCACCATATTGCAAAGGGATGCACGCGGCCCTCCTCTCCCAAGAACGCCTATCGGGAGAGAAAGGAGGGCCTCTGTCCTAGAGTTCCAGAAGCTTCTCTGGGGCACGGCTAGTCTCCGAGGCAGCAGCTTCTTGGTTCTCCTTGCACCCCAGACAGCCACCCGCTCAGCGGGCTCCAAGACAAGAACAGGGATCACAGGGGGGCCACAGCAGCAGCACAGGCTCCCCCCCCCCCCGCAAGGGCCACCCTCTACATGGGAAAAAGCGCTCGCCTCGAGGCCGGTGGCTGCAGCCAGCCAAACGCTGAGGCCCAAGCCAGGCCCCGTCCAGTCTCCTGCGAGGGGGAGCCTCTCCAGCCACGAGGCCAACCTCTGCCGCTCCCCCTCTGCGTGGAGCCTGCCCGCCCGCCCGGCCACCACCTCCTGACTCACCACCGCCAGCTGCCACCTGAGCTAACAACGGGTGAGCGGGGCCCGCCTTTTGCTTAGTCATGGCTGCTCCCGAGAAGCGGTGCGAGAGCTTCCTCTCTGGGAAAAGCAGGCGGCTGGCCAGCCGGCCGAGAGGGGTCGCTCGCAGCCACTCACGAGCCAGCCCACCAGTCAACCAAGCCGGGCCAGCCAGAAGACCGCCAGCAGACTGCGGTTTGTCCAGCTACAAATGGGTTGGGCCGGGCCGGCTTCGTCTGTCATGCTGGCAGGGCAAGGGGGATACAAGGACAACACAGCCCGGGGGAAATCCCTGGGGTCGGCCACTGCCCAAGGGGGAGAGAGAGCCCCCCCGAAGGGAACAGGGCAGAGCCCCAAGAAGGCTCAGGGGCCAGTCCCTCTCCAGAAGGCGCTCTTGCTCGCACTTGCACCAGCTGCCCGGGTCGGTGGCCGGAAAGGCCACAAAGGGCGCCCCCCCCCCGGCCTGCACCCCAAGTAAACACTGGGAGGCAGGTGGTGCCGAGCATCAGGAGGCGCTCTCCGGGAGGGAGGGGAGGGGGCACAAGGGCCTCCCCCTCCTGCCTGGTGGCACCCGAGACCAGCCCAGGGCACTCCCTCCGGCCCCTCCCTCCCTCCCTCCCTCCTGCAACAGAGATGGCACCCTGCCCAACCGCCCGCCCGCCCTTGTGGGAGCAGCAAGAGGGGGGAAACCAGGCCCCTCTGGGGAGAGCCAGCCGAGACAACAGGCGCCCAGCCCCACATTGACACATGCATGCCAGGGCCATTGCAACAGCCCTGGGCCTGGCCAGCCAAGAGGAAGTGGGGCGTGGGGGTGCCCCTGAGTTTTGCAAGGGGAAAGCACAGGCTGGTGGGAAGAGAGAAGACCGCGGGGGGAGGGGGCAGGACCCATCTTTGCACCCACCACCACCAAAGCCTGTTTGTCAGTTTCCACACATTTCTGCAACAGATAACATTTTTCGTCACTTTGTTGCCAAGAGGACAACTACATATCTTCAGTTGTCTTGGTTAAGACTGTACTGTAAATTTATTTTTTGTTGCCATTCAAAGGAGTCTAGAGATGATGGGAAAAGGGAGGCTGGGGAGGGCAAGAGTTTCTCTAAAGCCAGAACGGCCACAAGGCTTAGGCAAGGCCAGCCTGAGGATCTGAAGCCACTTTGATCCACAGCAATGAGGCTGAAAGGGCTCAGGGCAGCCCCAGGCATCGGCAGCCCCTCTATGGGACGGCCGGCCAGCTCCTGGGCACCGATTTGCACCCCTTGGTTCCCACCTCTCGTGGAAAGCAAAAAAAAAAACACCCTCCGGGCATGTCGCCAGGGGGACCCAGTGCGGCAGGGCAGCCGAGCCAGCCGGAAAATCTGGCTCCCAAGCAGGTTTCTTCAGATCCTGAGGGAGGGGGTGGGGGGTGTCCCAGCTCAGCTGGAGGACACATCCCCCTGCCCCCACCCCCGACAGTGATGGGCAGGCGGGTCTCATCACCTGCCCCATGGGCGGGCCGTTTCCCTTGAGCCCCTGGCGAGAGAGAGAGAGAGAGAGAGAGAGAGGAAGAGGATTGGCCTGCTGCGGCCAAGGGCCAGGAGACCTCAAACTCGGGACCCCACTGGACCGGTCTCTCAGCCTGAAACAAACCCCCCCAATCTCTTCCCTCGCCAGTTAGACACCGGGAGAGCAGGTGGACTTTGGACAGGTGGAGCCCAGCCTCCTTTGCACGGGTCCTTGAGCAGGGGAGGGGGCTGGGGTGGGGGCCATCCCTCTGGGGGCCTCGCTCAGAGCCAGCGCCCTCGCAAACCAGGCCACCTCTTGGTGGACGCTGGTCTCAAGAGGCAAGCCCCCACTTTCTCAGCCAAACCAAGAGCCGGCTCGGCGCGCCTTCCCCCAGCCAGGCTGCTGCCGCCACCACCTTTCCAGGGTCCATCCCCGACCCAGTGCAGGATCACCTTCTCAGGCCACCGTTCTCTGCCTCCTGCAGCGCACCTTGACCCTTTGGGTGGGTGGGTGGGGGAATCAGCCCTCCCTTCAAAGGATCGCCAGCCCTGGTGCTCTCAGGCATCCAGCTGGATCAAAGCAAGAGGAGGAGGAGGCTCGCTCACTCAGACCCACTGGGCTGGAACCTGCCCACCGCGCTCCTGCCGCCCGTCTCCTCCTCGAAACGTTTCACGGTTCAAACACATCGAGTGGGCAGCACACAAACGGGCAGAAAGAAACAACCACCAGCGTTATGTAAACTCCGACAAAGTCCAGCCCCTCCCCAGCCGGGGGGGGCTGTGATGGGAAGAGCGGCCCTCTCGCCCCACAACCCCCCCATGGGCCCCACAGCAGAAAGCCTGCCTGGGCAGGGGGTGCGCAGGTCTTCTGGGGCACCACCCGGGAGGGGTGTAAGGCTCCTCTCCTTGCCTCCAAGAGAGGGGGGGCACACACAGAAACCAGGGAGGTGGGGAGAGGGGGCAAGCGACCGGCTGAAGCTCTACTAGTTGAGGGGGGGGAAGGAGGACAGACCCCGGCCCACCTGTTCCTCAGCACCTCCCGCCCACCCCCACTGCCTGGGAGCCCCAGGGGCAGGCAGGCTGAGCCTCCTCTCAACACCAAAAGAGCTTCTGTAGGACACAGCCAGTGCATGCGCACGCACACATACAACCCTGGCCAGGTCCTCTCCCTTCCCTCTCTCTGACACACACGCCAAACTCTGCTGCTTATGAAAGGGATGTGCCAGCATATAATCAATTTTTCTATCAACTGCTTTGCGCCCGCCTGACCTCTGTCACAGCAGATCAAGCCAGGAGGCCGTGAAGGCTTATTTGCACATTAACGAGGGAGGCCGCGGCCGCGGCGCTCCTCCTGGCTGCCTTTTCGTCGTGAATTCTCTCACCACAGCAGTTGCCACAAGGGCCGGGAACCGCCTGTGGTTCATACGACATCCAAGCCCCCCCCCCGTACCCACTGTGTGAGAGAGATGGGGATGTGCTCCCATGGTGGAGGGCTTGGGAATGGCTGGCCACTAACAAAAGTGTCTCCTTTTGAAGGGCGGGAGCAAGCCCTTTCACTAGGGCCGAAAGTTACACGCGCGCGTCCGTTCGGGCTGAATTCCACAAAGACCGGAAGGCCCGCCTGCCTGACTTTCATGGGTCCAAAATGCTCCTGCCGACCAACACAGATTTATGAACCCAAATTCCGCGTCTCTCAGTTAAACCTGGCCTTAAGTCTTTGATATATAAACAAAATGAATCACAAGTAAACAGGTGATTCGCAAGACCCTGCGTGACACATACGCACGACCAAACAGCGCCAACGTTGTCCTGACAGCGGCTCTCGCCCCACCAAATATCAGGGACCAGTTATGTTCTATTTCAGGGAGAAACAGGCTCTCCTGACCTGGCCCTGCCAGCCAGGACTTCCAGAAAGCCCTGGGCCCTCAACCTGCTGGTAAGTGATCCTGCGCTGCCTCTTTACATGAGTGCAAAAGCTCTTCATGTCCTCACCCCAACTTCCAATTTCTCTACCCCTTCTTCTAGATGATCCCCTGGGGAGTTAGGTACAGGCACCCACGCTCTGACACCTGCCGTGCTTTGCCCGTGGTTCTGTTAAGCGCAAGCGGTCCTGGGGTGTCCCAGACTGTACCCCACCCACTCTGAGGTCGCTTCATCTTGGGCACAGTAAAAATATTGTAGTCAGTAAATTCGTAGAAAGCACTCACTGTAAGTGGTGGCAGGAGAACGGATCATGCCTTCCCTCTAAGAGCCAGGCCCCCAAAACAGCCCCCAGAAGCATCTCCAAAGAGGCCCTTGAGGCCTGCCATCCCCCCCCCCGTCCCCACCTGAGGGGAAGGCCACCATCCGCCCACCCGCTCTTCCCAGAGACTGGCACTGGGCCGGCCTCTCTTTTTGCCAAGGCAAACCCACCAAGGTGCTTGGATGTGGCCCCTCCTCCCCGGGGAGGGGTGGACTTGATGACCCTTTGAGGACCCCAACTCATAATTCTGTGTTTCTGTAAGCAAAAGGAAAGGGGACGACGGCCCACTCAGCAGAGGTTCCCAGCCAAAGCTTCCTCACCTCCATGGGAGAAAGCCTCATGATGCATCCAAAACAGACCGTCCCCCTCAACAGAAAGATCTTTCTGGAAGTGCCCTCCCCCACCTCAGCGAGAGTTAGCGGCCGGCCAGTTACCAGCCAGCCCCAAACGCAGGTAGCCAGCCTGCCTCCCTGCCTGGGCAGCCCCGAAGGTGGAGGAACACCTCCCAGGTTTATGGGGAACTGAGGGGGGGGGAGTGGCCACGTGCAAGCCTAGACGATCTCTCTCTCTCTCACACACACACACAAACACACTGTTGCAAGTAGGACCCCCAGTGAAGCACCAGCAGCAAAGGGCCCTGCTGTGGGGTGCCCCCACAAGAGTTCTCCATCCAGAATCACCTCTTCTCTCCGGAATGGAGGCCGACGGACACTCACCTACCTCAAAAGGTCGTTGTGCTGAAACCCCTCCCCCCACCTCCCCGAGAGGGCCAGAAGGGGTAGGGCTTGGCATCGCTGTGAGGTCTCTTGCGGCAAAAACAAGCAAGAATCTTGTGCCTGCTGGGAAACCCACCACCTTCGATTGGGCCCAAGACTTCATGTTACTTGGTCCACTTCTGAGGCAACGTCACGATTTCTGTGTTCTCTGATGCTATCAGGGGTGGAAAGTTTAAATCCATTGATCGACTGTAACCCCAATGAAATCACAGAATAGATTTCCTGGCAGGAGGTAACCCTGGTTAAGGTAGATTGATTGATTGACAGCCTCTCCTCCTCCTTCTCCTCCCCCCACTTGGCAGAGGTGGCACCGTTTCTGGGACACCTTTCCCTCTCGCAAGAGGAGACCCTTCCCGTAACCGGGGAGGAAAGGGTGACACCAGCCAGCCCCTCAACCACCACCCCCTCTTTGGCAAGAGGGATGGTTATCCTTGGAATGACCGGACAGGGGGCCACGGCAAGGCTCTTCCGGTCTCCTGGGGCTATTCAGTGGCTACAACGTGGTGGCACTGTCCTTGATGGAGAGACACGTAGCTTCTGCCGCTGAAATGGATGGCTCTGAAACCCCTTGTGGCCCGTTGCCTTCTTTCACTGGGAGGCAGCCCTCCTGACACTGGCGCAGAGTCAACCCTCCTCCAGGCGCTCAATGCCCCTTACGCCCAGGAAGTGGGACAGCAAGTGTTGTCTGTCGAGATAAAGCCAAGCACCACCCCGTTCCAGTCACGCCGTCCCTTCACCGGGTGGCGATAGCTGTCTGAGGACATGCACAACATTGCCTGTTTCGCACTTGCCCACCCACCCCCCCCGTCCCGGCTCCCCAAGGGAATGAGGAAGTGTGTGCCAGGTGCAACCAGGGGGGCGTCCAGAACACCTGCAGGATCCCTGCAGTGCACATCCTTGGGGGGGAGGTCAGAGGAGTGCCATCGGGCATGCCTGTAGGTGGGTGGGTGGCCATCTGCCCCCCGTTTCAGGTGCGCCTGCCCATGGCCTGCACTTCATGAAGCCTTGGTGCCAGAGCAAGCGTGGCCAGGCTTTCAATGGGCCAACAAACCCAGACGTGTGACTAGTTCCTTCCTTGTTGTTTTTGGAGCATCCCCTTTAAGGCAGGCTGGTCTTTCTTGGGCTCCAATGCTAGGCGGATCAGGTGAGGCCAGGCCACCCGAGGACCACCGGGGAGCTCACCGCCCATAGACCCCCAGCCAGCCCCTTGGCCTTTCTCTCCAAGTTGGGGGGAAGAGGGGCAGACACACCGCCAGAGCCGAAACCTGCCCCTGCTGGACCCGATCCCAGCATCCTTCCAAAGGGCCCCCTCATTTCCCCATTCCCCCGCCGGAGACAGCACACAGAAAGAGGGCAGTCTACCCGACAAGGAACAGCCAAAGAAAGAAAGGGCCTGGGAGAGACCCACTCCCTCCGCCAGGCACATGCTGCCTGCTTGCAGAGCGGAGGGGGGGGGAGCCTCTTCTCTGAGCCCAGAGGCCGGCCGGGCCGGGCCTCCTCCCCGGAAAGAGCTCGGCTTCGGGTCCCAGAAGGGCTTTTGGGCGTCTCTACTGGGGACGGGGATTTGCACCTCCTCCATCTCGGCCCCCTGGGGGAGGCGGCGGCGGGGAGAGAGCGGCTCTTCGGCCTTTCCCTCCCCTTCCCAGCTAGGTCCTGCCTGGGGCTCCCGCGCTCCGATCCCCCGCGCCCCGCCCTGGCACCGAGAGCGCGCCGAGGGGGGT